TATTATAGCAGCTAAAAACTCCAGATTTATTAAGGCATAAAAAGTGCAGCTTGTTACATAAAAACCACAAAGAACAACGTTGTTCATCCTTATTGCTGGCATTGGAGTCTCCATCCATAAACAGCGCCATACGGAAAACTTCACACCATCGATAATTTGCCAAATTTGCTGATACGAGATAATTTGTCTTCTTATTCCCATCTTGTTATGTTCTGTCTTGTACCCATGCTTCCTAACAAAATGGAGTAAACCCGTGATTAATTTCCTCTGAAGAATAGAACAGTCCTCTTTATTAGGAACACCTGCACGTCTGCCCATTCATGAAGCCCATTATCTAACGAGCCAATCATGTGGTAGCAGCACAAGGCAAAAATCATGCAGATACAGGGCAAGAGCGTCAGTTAATGTTCACATCAAACATCAGAATGGGGGCAAAAGCGTGATCTCGGTGACTTTAACCGCAGTATGGTTGTTGGAGCCAGATGGGCTGGTTTAAGGGAGTATTTCATAAACTGCTAATCTCCTGGGATTTTCCTCACACACACACACACACACACACACACCACTCTCTAGAGTTTACAGAGAATGGTGCGAAAAACAAAAAACCTCCAGTGTCTGCAGGCTGAAACACCTTGTTGATAAAAGAGAGATCAGAGGAGAATGACCAGACTGGTTTGAGCTGACAGGAAGTCTGTAGTAACTCCCATAAGCGTTCTTTACAACCGTGGTGAGCGGAAAAGCTTCTCAAAATGCACAACACATCAAACCTTGAGGTGGATGAGCTACAACAGCAGAAAACCACATCCCTGTATAAATGAGCAGGTGTACAGATATTCCTATTAAAATGACCAGTGACTGTATATGTATTGAGGATAACCTCCTTGCACCATAAGCCATGTAATCCCTTGACGTCCAAATGGTAACGCATATAAGGAATGACCCAGATGTCAGTGTATACACTTCCCCTACTATATAGTATACACTCTCTGGCAAAAATTAATCTTTATCAGCAGATACAGGACAAATATTGGGCAAATACTGATAATATGAATGATCGGTGCACCCCGAAGTGAATCTCTCTGCAAAGCCAAGCGGTGTGCAGAACTTTATACACTGATCATACAGACACAACATGGAGATTCAGGCTCGGAATCGTTTTACACAAACGCAGCATCTGAATGGCAGCGAGAGTACAGTCACGTTAGAGACGCGCAGCAGTGCGGTGCACGGTTTCAGTCCAAACTCAGTCGTATAAAGTACACTACAAACACACACTGATGGATGGCAGAGCCAGAGTACAGGCCACGGGCTGCAGAGGCACAGAGTATTGCAGTGTCAGAGTTCAAATCCTACGTACACACACAAACACACACTGCCAAAGAGGGAGAAGCGGACTGCGCGCTATGCGACAGCAGATACTGAAATCCACAAACACACACACACTCCAGCATGCATAAAGACGGACTCATTTTGTATTCCAGCATCATCACTGCTGCTCCATGCTACACACACATATCTCACTCACTGCTCTGCTTCGATTCCAACACCACAAACAACCAAAAGCTGCATGCTCAACAAAACAACTAAGTTGAACAATGGTTAAACAAACAAACAAACAATCTCTTTGCCTTCTTTTACTTTCCCAACGCACACGTAACCCGACACTACAGACACTCGGAGGCAAACTCCAGAGCTGCATTGACTAGCACATCAAAAAGCACTTTCCGCACAAATCAACTTGCTATGAGGGGGAGGGGAGGAGGAGATGCTGCCTGAGGAGGGTTTAATCATCCCCAGAGGATGGAGCGACCACGATATTCTCTCTCTCGCGCTCTCTCTCTCTCTCTCTCTCTCTCTCTCTACGCCCCCACCAGTCTGAGCAGGCATGGCGGTGCCCGACTGGGGGCATAGAGGATGATGAAGTCGTCTCTGAGCGGCCGGCTCTCGGCCCGCACCTCCACACGCACTGTCCGGCTGCCGGTGACTCTCCGCAAACACACGCAGCAGTTCCATGGCAGCCAGTCCACGCTCATCTCTCCCCATGGCCGCCCCTGCTCCAATCTCATTAGGAGCAGTGGCGGAGCGGATCAGGAGCGAGAGAGAGAGAGAGAGAGAGAGAGAGAGAGAGAGAGAGAGAGACGGAGAGGGAGGAGGGCGGAAGAAGGGGAGGGTGAGATCGACAAGGAGAGAGGGAGGGAAGGAGGGAGGCAGTGAAGCTAAAAATAAAACTCACAGAGCCTTGGCGAGTCCTGACTGATCGGACAGCGCGAGCCCACTTTCAGCACAGTGCCGTTTTCATGGGCAGATCCGTAAGCCAAGCTCAGCCGTCTGTTGGCTACTGGCCTCACACACACACACAGACAAAGAGGAGAGAACTCTTATCTCCAAACCGCATCTCTCTCTCTCTTCTCTCTCTCTCTCTCTCTCTCTGCTCTGGACTGCTCCCTACGTTATATAATCTAAATACAATAATGGCCTACATACTTGTACACAAACACACGTGCTCACTTATTGAGGCTCACACAGACATACACAATTCACACATATGTGGTATTGTATACACACACACACACAGTCTCTCTCTGTCTCTCTGTATGTCTACATGTTATCTCGCACTGATCTGCAGTAGACGCTGTTATCTGCAGCACACTAGTGTGCACGTTTTAATATTTCAACATTGCACCCACTCTGCAAAGTGTCCCTTTGCTTCTAAAGCTTTCACAAACAAGAACATGTTCGCGGCAATTGTGCGAATCTCCAAATCTGCTGGGACACACCACAAGGTAAAGGGACAAAGAAAGGTCATGTTGGAACATGGGAGAGTATTGCATGCGATGCATGACGAGCTTACTGTGTTTGACGCAAAGTGGACGTCACTCAATCGTTCGTCTTCAAGAAACGTTTCATCTTGGTGATGATCGGTGTAGTTTAAAGTGCGAATCTGTTTATGTTTAGTGGAATGGAACCGATTAACACGCCTACAAGGTTTTCAAAATCTCAGGATCACTGATCACTTCACACTACATGACTTGAATCATGAATCGGGCGTGATCCGGGAGAGCACAATTCACGATCACTCACAGACGATGCTCAGACATTACACGATCGTTCATTACACTGCACACACTAAGCTTTAGTTTGTTAGCCAGTGAGATTAGACAGAATTTATTTGAATTTATCAAAAAAATATCTGCGGGAGCAGACGGGTTCGTTCAGAAGTTTTTTTCGGGAGTGGGTGGGATTAGTCAAACGTTAGCGGCTTTAATTTAATTTAGTTGGAATTCCTTTGGGAGCAGGAGGGATTAGACAAAATTTGCTTGAGTGGGTGAGATTAGTCGGAATTTCAGCAGGAGCGGGCGGGATTAGTCGGAATTTCTGCCTGAGTGGGGGGGGGGTTAATTGGAATTTCTGCTGGAGTGGGTGGGATTAGTGAGAATTTCTGCCGGAGTGGGTGGGATTAGTGAGAATTTCTGGTGGAGTGGGTGGGATTAGTGAGAATTTCTGCTGGAGTGGGTGGGATTAGTGAGAATTTCTGCTGGAGTAGGTAAGATAAATCGAAATTTCTGCTGGAGTGGACAGGATCCTTTGGGAGCAAGCAGGAGTAAGAAAAAATTTAACACGAACGCCGTCCACGAGGAAGTCAAGTCCTTCTAGTTACAAATATGTATGCCAAATACATTTAAAAATATACTTCAAACAGGAAGGAATCTTTCGTAGAAAAAGCCTTACATCTGACCTCGCTGTGACTTTGACTCTTTTCAACTCCAAAATCTAATCAGTTCATCTGCTGGTTGCAATGGTAACTCCATATAATTCCTACAAACAATAAAACATTCGTTCCTGAGATATCGTGCTAACGAGAATCTCAGACTAAACAGCGGTCACCAAAAAAAAAAGCAAATACGCTCACTGATGTACACGCTTGAAAATAAAAGTGGTAGAAAAGATGGGTTTCTTTAGAGTCGTGCAATATAAGTGCAATAGCAGAGCCATTTTTAGTAAAGAACCTTTCAGTTGATGAGATATTACTGAATAATCATTTTCCACACCAAAGCATTTAGTCATAAGGTCCTTAATGAACCAAAGAAAATTCTTCTATGGCACTGCAAATACAAACTCTAGGTCAAAAAAAGCAGCATGGGGTCAGAGGTCAAGCATCATCAAAGAGTAAATGTTTTACATGTCCAGTGAAGGAGAACAGAAATGATTCGAGGTGTACAAGTAAAAAAAAAACAAAAAAACAAGCAGGTAAATAAAACAGGGTGGAACATCAGCCAACCAAGAGAGCACCAAAAAAAAAGGAGTTGTGTGGCACCAAACAGCCATTTACCTCACTGTCAGCACCACATTGTCCAGAAGGCATGGGTGTGAGACAGACGGGGAGAGGTCACAACCTGGTACTGATAGGTAGATAAACAAACAGACTTAACACCATGCAGCATCCATGGATGATGTGACAGCAGCCATAGTGCACCAGAATGCCCAACACACACCAGCTATTATTGGAGAGGAGAGAGTTGTAGGGTGGGGGGGGTGTTGGGTGGTGCCGAATGGTCGAATTTCACCAGGACACCAGTCATCCGAAATACAGTCTGTTTTTACAGTATAGTGTCCCTGGCACTAGACCCCACACAGACCACAGGGTGAGTGCCCCCTGCTGTAATCACTAATACCACTTCCACTTAGGTCTCCAATCCAAGCTCAACCCTGCTTAGCTTCAGTGGGAAACCAGGTGAGAACTGCAGGGAGATATCCATCCATCTTCTACCACTTACTCCTTCTTCAGGGTTGCGGGGAACCTGGAGCCTATCCCAGGAAGCATCGGGCACAAGGCGGTACACCCTGGACAGGGTGCCAGTCCATCGCAGGGCACAATCACATACACACTCACACACCCATTCATGTAATATGGACACTTTAGCCAATTTGGACTGGGGGAGGAAACCGGAGGACATCTCCCTGCAGTTCTCAGAGGAAACCCCGGCAGCACGGGGAGAACATGCAAACTCCGCGGGAATCGAACCTGGGACCCTAGAGGTGTGAGGCGAACGTGCTAACCACTAAGCCCGTGTGCCCTGCAGGGAGATATGGCTCTGGCATAAACATGGATAAAGCGCCGAATGAACAATGAATAGCAGACACGCAAAACCATCAACATTGTAAAGTGGTGTTTGAGCGTACATTTGTATGTGCATCAATTGTTATTGATGCATTTTTATACTGCTAGCTCTACAACCAGGCTACACAGATGACTGGTTGGTGACCTTAGTTCAACTTGGCTTTCAATTTAAAACATTCAAAAGATCTTGTGTAAATAAAATGTCAATCTAAAAATTGGACATGTCCTTTAACACACTGCAGCACTGGGATTCAAGGAGGCAGCACCGGTACATCACGCGGTTAGAGGTTTAACACTGTAGAAACAGAAGTCTATGGTGGCTGATGACTTCCTGCATCAGGGCTGAATCACACCGCAGTGAGGATTAATCAGGAAATAATGGATCTGCCTCAAACCTCATCCAATTTATTCTACAGCCTTTTAATTAGTAAACTAATCTGCACGCAACATGCAGCAAACGTCAATCAGACTCAGAAGGAGGAAATCTAATGGATTTGATTGACAAGAAACTGCACACAGCTAAAGGGCAGAGTCTGACAGTAGATTATCAGGAGTTACACCCAAACATTCCAGTGTGTTTAAAGGAATCAGAGCTTCAGACCACCTTTCTGAGTCACCACACACACACACACACACACCCCATCTTCTAATATACACACTCCCCCAATCCAAGCAGCCCTCGTCTTCTTCACAGAAACTGAAAGAGCACACACACACACACACACACACACACAACACACACACACACAAGCCTACATTTCCCTATAATGCAAAGTTCCTGCTCAGGGTGAGTCATCGAGTCTGACCTCATCGACTGCTCGTGACATACGACTCATTCATGACCCTATAACTGTCCAGATGTGTGTGCTCGTTAGGACTGTTCAAGTAAATTCTACTGTACAACTTATGGATAAGTAATTCTAACCATTCTAAATGAATACAGACGTAAATCAAGATTTGTATAATACATACACATACTGGATATATATTAGCAGCCCAAGATATTCTTGAATCTAATTGGTCAGAAGGTGTTGATTAATGTTCTATAACAGCAGCTCTGACAATATGTTAAGGCTTTATATTAATGCACTGGTTCTAATACGTTATTGTTTCTATAGTAACAACTTACACAGGTACATGTACAATTTATGCCAGGTATAATAACAAATAATATAATATAAATTATACTAATTAAGTTTCCACAACATGGGGGAAGTCTTGAGAATTTTTTGGCCCATAATATGACAAACTGCCCTTTTTGGTGTTATTAACCTCAAGAGATGAAAGGTTGGTGAGAGAACTTTGAGACACACTTAAAGAAAGATCAACTTCTTGATCATGCTGTGACCATAAAACGGACAAACAGTCCCTCCAGGATTTTGCGATTTTGTGATCGCAGAAATCAATGCAAAATCAAGCAAACTCAGTAATATTCAGAGTAGCTTGCAATTTTTCTACATTATTGCAGATTTTCTGCAAATTTGGACCATGCGACATCATCGCAACATGCATTCAACCAAAGACCCTCTTCGATGAACGTGTGTGAAACATCAGTACAGCTAAAGGTCTCATTTACCAAAACATTACTGCGAAACAATTTTGTGCAACTGCAATTTCACCAATTCAAACAGTTTTCCACAAAATAAATAAATAATAAGACACACAAAAACGCCACAAATTGCATCTAAAATTTTAAAGAAGCCGCAGCAAAAACACATTATTTTTTGGCTGTAACAATCAAAAATCCTGTACGGACTGATTAAGAACCTTGTTATATTGAGTTATTGTTTTCTGAATTGTTAAACAGAAATTGTAAACAATCATAAAAAAGCAGAAGGATGAGAAGAGAAAATATATATTTTTTTTTTAAAAAGAAAGGCCTTCGTACTATTGTCTGGTGATCGCAATATCAAATCCAGATGATGCCACAGCCATCCATGGCCGGAAACCAAGTAAGCAAAATCTGCCGTGTTCTCTAGGAGGGAGGAATGTCATACTCGCTCACCCCTGTCAATCCTAGTGGCACTAGCCAACAGTGGGTGTCTGTGAGCTCATGTATGCAGAAGAGGGTGGATAGCACTTTCCTGGCTTCAATTATCATGGATGAAACACATGATAACCCTCCCCTTCCCCAGTTGGTAGCTGTTGATAGACAGATAGACAAAATGGACAAGTGCATAATTAAATTAAAACACATAACTCTTTTACATATACAATACTCACCAGGCGTAAATCGAAACTGCATATTCATTCTTTCAGCCTAATATTAGGACACCCTCACCAAGCGGAGCGAGCTCAGCTTGTCATCCCATAAAATAGTCAAATAAAAAGTCTATAAATAGTGAAATGCGTTCACACTGGCAGAAAAAGTGGAGCACAATGCATGACATTCACACAAGCATGGCCTTTGTTTTGTCCACTCGAACAAGGATGCCTCCAAATAAAGGCTTTACTATCATGCGCAAGATGCAATAAGAAGCCGTGACGAAAGAGAATGATGGTCTTTGCCAAGTAGACACACACACACACACCTTACACAGAATATAGATATGCCTACTGGCTAATGGAGGTCAGGCAGAAACATACACTGTGCCTTAATGGAGATTAATGTAATGATTAACCTGAGGTAATGCAATTTGGAACATACATTAACAATCACTATATACATAAATTGTCTGTAAAGCATCTTCCCTATACTCACTGTGTCTCATTCCCCCCATCTCTACCAGACGCACAGCTGTCCCGAGTCTATACAGCGAAACCCCCAGTGTTGAATGAGCACCTACAGTGTTTAGATATGTCCTACTGGACGCAAATGATATCTGAAAGAGTTCACCTTTAAGCTTTCACATTATTACATATTTATGTAGCAGGCTGCTACTAATCAATTGTGGATGAGCATCAGACTGCATTATTTTTTTTAATTCTTCATGAAAAGCTATGTTCAATATTTCAGGAGGCAGGAGAGAATTTGAATAAGACACTAATTCTGTGGTGACCCTTTTTAATTGCCAGTTTCAGAGAATTCCCATGGTGACTGAAATTGTTTAATCACATTTTGTGTCAGAATCGCAAACCGATCCTGATTAAAGTTTCATATCCTAAAGGAATGTTGACCTCAGTTTTCAAATATGAATGCGAATGAATAATGGATGCTCTGACTTAGCAAATCCCCAGTTGAAGCATGCAACAATGTTAGTTAGCTTACATGTGCTAAATATGCATGTTGTGATAGGAAAATAATCCAAAGTGGGGGGTAGTATGGTGCAACTTTTCTTTCTCTCTTGAAGTTAACAAAACCAAAAAACAAATAAACAAAAAAAAAATAAAACATGTTTTTGTGTCATGTTACCAAGAAACCAGGTTGTGAAGACTTTACCATGGTGGAAAACGTATTGACACTGGAAACTCGATTAGACATCTCTGTACACCATATCAACACCATCATACGTCTTTGTTAAATAACAGCACTTTTTTTGCATTAGTTTACGTAAATCATACATAGGGCTGTCGTATAAACCTGTATTTTCCATCCCGTAATTTGTTTTAAACACATTGAAGTGACTCCGCCCCGTAGTATTGTTTTCTTATTAATTCAAAGTTATGATGTTGTTACAACTCAAATCTACACTTTACTATTTAAACTTCAGCTACAGCGTTTCATTAAACAGTGCTTAATATTAGTATGAAAAGTACAGACCTACTAGGTGTCTGACAGACATCCTAGCCGTCTATATCTAGACGATGAAGAAGAGATAACTGACACATTTAAATCCACTGACTGGGATAAATCTTTATCTGGAGGTGAGGACGGATGGGTGTCAGCTGTGGAACAGCCTCCACATTGATTCAGGCTGCTGACACACACTCGGTGTCGATCAGAAGAGAGGGTCAGTCAGGACTACTGGTCTAGGTATCTCTTCTACAGTGGGTATAAACAGCTCAAGTAGACAAATGTGACATTCCTTATCCACTACTCCTTCCGCTAATAATACCTCTCCTGTACAATCTCCTGCAGATCAGAGATCAGCATCAGAGAGCTGACACACTACTTAGGCGGCCTGTCACAACGGCACTCCAGCAATGCGATATAAATTATATCATGAACAGGTTCCTGGCAGCAAATGTTGTAATGTAGAAAGCTGTTAAGGATATGTATACACACTTCTACTTTTCTTGAAATAGTGATGCCACTATAGCTGGCAATTGCATTCCGTAATCTGCTTAAATGGAAATGAAAAATACAAAAACGGACATGAAAACTGAGAAAACTCGAAATTGGTGTGCATGGAACAAGCTTTCACTTGTACATGTGCCAAAAAAAAAAAGAAAATCCTTCAGGAAGAATGGGTGTGCAAACTTTTTCACTCAACCACACAAAGACTGCCACAGCAAAAATGACCAGCTGAACAGAATGTTTCGAGAACGCTCAGGAATGTATTAGACTTTTTGTAAGGTTAGGTTGTAAGGTTATATAAACCAATGTTCTTGCAAAATTCTGAAGGCATGATATAATACTGGATTGTTTCATAATGTCTGTAGAAAAACATTCCTAACATTTTATTCGGTTACATAAAAAAAAAACTAGTATAAAGTGAACACAATATGCTTGTAGTTCAAGTGGTATAAACCATGAGAACACTGTTGAGAGTAACTTTAAAGGTGCAATAGTGTTTTTTTTCTAGCTTGTACAAATACCCTGTAAAATGTGTTAAACTTGATCATTAATAATGGTTTAAAGCCATGGACTCATGATTACAACTGTTTTTTTGTTTTTATCTTGCATCGCACAGTTATTATTTATGTTTGTACTTATCTTCAATATATTCTAATGAATTTTCTTTGGTCCTATTTCCCAAAATCTAAATAAACTCCTAAAAAACCACTGTGACCCTGACCAGGCAGTTACAAAGTTTCATGATTCCCCGTGAAGCAGCGTGCTCCGAGCGCTAATG